AAAAGGTTTGGGACTGGATTTGTCCACTCTTGCATGAAAGATGAAGCATAAATATTCCTTTGCATAAAAGACAATCTCATAAGCACAAACAACGATGTTTGCTAAGTTGAAGAAGGAGCCACATTTACATAATCTATTACTAGTAAGTTCCTATATTCACTGTGACCTATTGGTGTGTATTTTTCACAGATCCATCCACATCTGCAATAACATACCCAGTACCCACAAAACATCTGAAGTCCGGTAGCACAATGGTGGGTCTCAATACTTACGTTATACTAAAAGTAGAATAAAATTTGAAACTGTTCTTTCAAAACTTAACTAACTATGGAACGTTTTGAGTACAACAACTTATCTAAACAGCAAAATGCATTCCCATTAACAGATCCTCACGCTGCAGACTGTGCATCACAGTGACATAGCTGCACTTGTTGTAGCACAGGAAGACCCACCGGAGATGAAGGTCCAAGTGTACCAACGCCCCGGAGCCCCAATCGCCGGGTTGATGATGTACGCTAGGTTGGACGGCACGTGGTACCCATGCGGTTGGATTCGCGAGAAGAACAAGGACTCTGTCCTTAATTTGTCATCGGAAGGGGGCTTAGAAAGCCTGAGCTGTGTCCTACAGGACCGGTACACTAAGAAAGGCTACCATGTCTTAAAAGTTAGCATACTTTAGAGCCTTATCAAAATGTTTTGACGGCACTACAATTCACTACATTACAATATTTAAACAGCACTAAAGTTTACTACGTTATAATAGTTAAACATTGGTTGAAATTTCTAACCACAAGTAATAAAATTGTAAATGTAATAGATGTTTAAAAGCTACACACTGCAATGTAGGTTGTGTGCTGTATGTACCAGAACATGCCGTTAATAAAACATCTCTTGTCATTTGGTGTGCTATTTTCTAACTAAGTAAACAAGTAAAGTAGTTTAAGAATGCTTCTGATCAACACCTAGCCATGTTCCGTATTTGACGAGTATTCCCGGTGGAGACACGGTCAAAGCCCCACCAAGCTGTGGATTTCAGCCGGATAAAGTAGCGTGGCATTGAAATTACTAAAAAAATTCGATTCTCATCTATTTCAAACATCTATGTACAGATAGCAAACCCACATTGTACCTACAGTATACAGATTTAGCTTAATTCCATTATTTACACGCAACAACGCATACCCCAACACTTACGAACTCTTACCTGAACACAAGGTATATGAACTACGTTACTGGCTGTATAACGTTACTTACTTGTTGCGTTGTTTCGGTGCGAACGGTCATTGAATAACTTTAAAAGTCATATTCGTAACAGGAATCCCTTTTTTTGATTCGTCGACGTTTTGAACCGTCTCCCTGGCATTTCCCGTTCTGCTCTCTCTCATCCTCCTCTTTTTGCGGATCCATTTCATTCTCTTCCTCCTCCTTATCCATTTCCTTGTCTTTCTCTTCATTCTCCTTTTCCATTTGCCTTTTTCTCTTCTTGTCTTCTCTCTCTTTTGCCTTTGCTTCTCGTTGTAGTCGTGTTAGCTCTGCCCTCTTCCTTCTCTCTTCGGCTTTGGCTTTTTTCATCTTTTCATCTTCCTCCTTCTTCTCCAACTCTTTAACAATGTCTTCATGTGTCATAACTCGGGCTGATAACTTCCTCCTCTTTGTTTGTTTGCAATTGGGTGCACTTTCCACCGGCCTTAAGATATCTTGCAAATGTTCAGGGACTAAGGTCCCTACCAGTGGGTTTGCAGAGCGCCCACACGTGCTGCAACAAGTTTCACTGTTGCTCCTTTTTAGCATTTGCACTTTCGGTACCCGTAGCTGTAGCTTCTGACGTAGATTCAGCATTTGCACTTTCGGTACCCGTAGCTGTAGCTTCTGACGTAAATTCAGCATTTGCACTTTGGTACCCGTAGCTGTAGCTTCTGCCGCAGATTCAGCATTTGCACTTTCGGTACCCGCTTCTGACGCAGATTCAGCATTTGCACTTTCGGTACCCGCAGCTGTAGCTTCTCCTGAAGCAGACTTAGTTTCAGGGGACATGTTGGTCCATATGCTATCAATGGCGCTCTTGTCATAGGGGAGGATACCGGTCTTCTTAAAACCTGATTTGATGTTCTCAGGTGTAAAGGTAAGATCTTGTACGGAGGCAAAGATCTTTGGAAACGTTGTCTTCCTGACTTGGAACCCTGTGTCGGCGGCCTGTAGCGATTCCAAAGTCGTCGCCCACTTTGTCTTCAGAGAACTAAACACAGTGACGTCCAGGGGCTGGGTAAAGTGGGACGTATGGGGCGGGAGACCATAGATTATGATGTTTTGCTCCATTGCTGTCTTCAGTACCTTTAGGGACAGGTGGCTACTGTGCTGATCCACTATCAGCAGGATTGGCCTCTCTTTATGACAATGGACCAAGAAAATCTTGAAGAACCACTCCTCAAACAGCTCTTTATTTATGAAGCCTGATTCGGACCAAGCGTACAGCGCCCCTGGGGGTCCTCCTTCTGAGAACTTGCCAGACGGCATGGCCCTATTGAAGACAATCATTGGGGGAACCACCGCTCCTGCTGCGCTCACGCAGGACATTGCTGTAATATGGTCTCTCCCTCCTGACCGTATGGATGGGGCTCGCTTGGATGCTGTCGGTACGACGACACGAGATTTCCGCGCATCCATACTCATGCCAGTTTCATCGGCATTGTATACCTGGAACGGCCGATCGTGTAACTTGTTCTCGGACAATAACTGACCGAGTTGCTCAAAGTGTTTTTCCACCACTCTGGCATTGCTCATAGCCGCCCTCGCTCTGTCCAGACTGTCCGGTGATCTTAAACTTATCTCGGGGTGGCGGCGTCTGAACGCCGACCACCACCGCTTTCCTGGCAACTTTCCGCCAAACCTAGGAGCTTCGCCCTTTTCTTTGCTACTTACTGCATCTATTTCTTTGGCCAGTGCCTTCATCACCCCTGCTGTGAGGGGGAAGCCCTTTGTGGCCATGTACATGGAATACTTTACAAGAGCTTCCTCGTCCTCCGGAGAAAGTTTGGTGGGCCTGCCAACCTTTTCCGTATGCCTCTGATTGTACCTATCATCCAGGGTGCTTTGCGGCACATTGAATTCTTTGGCTACTTTATAAATAGCCTTCCTCTCATCCTTTATTGCTCTTATTGCCTGTTTCATGTCTTCTTCATCCCACTCGCGGTATTTTCTGAGTGGTGGGCCAGACATCTGTGAATATTGAGAAATTATAAAGGTGTCACTTATGGCATTTTGTTGATTACACGGATTCTACAGCTGGAAATCTTTTATTGGGAGCAAGCCTTAATTATTTCCACAGGTGCCGCTTGTTGCACCGTTCTTAGCCAAGGATGGAATTTCATTGGACGTGGCCCTGAATTTGAAGCAATTCAAAATGTTTTATCAACAATAGATAATTTAATGGACACAAAATAGCGAGTCATGGTATCTATATTTACACATACAGGCGGCAAATAAGCACGGAAAAGTGTGTATCATTTTAACAACGTCTTTGTAGTTTTTATTTGCCCCTAAGACGAGTTTTTGTGTTGACCTTGCTCACGTTCGAATTTCCCTCCCTGTGTTTACAAAAGGACTTCCGCCAACAAACGCCTAATTCGCCTCCTAGAATGAGTCTCCTGATGCCCAACCATCTTCGTACGTGTATTTAGCAGCGTTACTTACCATGACACCACCTAGCGATCCTTACTCAGGATGCAGTAGGACGGACGACGGGCCGCACCCTTGTATCAAATGTCGCCCTCACTTTCGAACAGAATGACGGGAAATGCCGGTCGTGACGTGTGTGGGAGGGCGTTCGAACCGCGCTGTAGTTATGCTTATTCAGGTCAGTTTTCTTGCGAAATAAAGCACTCGGAGTCGCAGTTCGTGGTGCACTGTATAGCTTTATTTATCAAGTGTATGACAGTAATATGTCATGTAAAATAGTGGTGTATTGTTAGTGTAGGAAACGCCGTTACATGGTGACCTCTCACAAGAGGGCGTCCATAATTATCGTTATTTTACATGTCGTGACGTAACTCTGATTAAATATCGAAAGCTTTACTTTTCATTCGTATGTCAGCTGTGTGCATGATCCTTGCTTCTTTGTTGTTTAGATGATGGTACAAGATGGCAACAGCTGTGGCTGACTTTTGCATATTTAGACAATTACAAATTCATCCGAAGTTAGGGGTCGTCCGAAGTTACAGCACCCCGCGTTACATTTCTTGTAGAAGATCAGTACAATTCAGTCCCGTTGTCAAGGGCTTCTGTGATACTGAAGTTTGGACTAACACCTCAAAAGTTACAGTTCAATACATATGTACATACACATGTATATAATGTGGCTGTTTTTATACTGACTATTAGTGATGATGCAAATATGGTAAGAATGAATGAGCAAATTAATTATTTATTTATTCAGACAGTGCAGATACATGTTTCCAGAATGGCAAGAATGGCAAACACATAGAATTGTACTCCATCATACAATATTGCTTGCTGTGGATTTACCTTTACACTGGATTTACATTTTGAACTATATGTAGCATGACATTTTTGCCCCATAAAAACGTTTTATTACTAGTTGGAAGAACAGATTTTCACTTAGATTCCTCACATTTCCTGTTTGTTCCATATAATTCTCTGCTTACCATTAAGGAGAAACAGTATCTATCCTTTTTTATTCTGACAGTAGTTTTCATAAGCCCTTTACAGAGAGTAATATTGTTACATTTCTTCAAATTGTGATACTTCAAGTTCAATGGAAAATAATATACACATATATATATACAATGAGATAAAATGTGATTCCACATTGGACGTTCCTTGAAATTGCACTTTATCTCTCTTGTAGAGACAACCTGGTTCAGCTGAAAAAAAGAAGAAAAAGACAGTCAATATTACTCAGCTGACTGATAGCTGTATATAATACAACAAATAAAATACAGCAGATATCAGATACTTAGAACACAATTTGGAAGCAATACTTGGAGTCTGAACAATTTGAACACCCCTAATAGCAGGGGGTAGGTGTATGCTGTGTTCTTCTATACTCACGAAGTGTATTTATAACGTAACAACTCAAGCATATAGAGATATGAGCCCTGCCTGTCACAGCCTGATTAAATCGCTTTACGGTTGGAGGGGAGGGGCCAGTAAAGCCGCAGACGGCAGACTTTACGTTACACAGACTATGCCTGTCACAGCTAGTACTACAGTCTAGATGTAGGTGTTTCCTGTACCTGTTAACAGAGTTGAGCCTGTCTGTCCTGTGTGTGTCCTGGACCAGGGCTGCCGCCTGCCGCCTCAGCTGGTAGTTAAGGAAACACTTCATGCTGCGCACCTCCCTTACCAGCAGGGGCAGGATACATACTGCAGTCATCAGTGTCTGCACAGACAGGACAGGAATGCCAACATCTTATTATCATGCCAAGAAATTTGGTATAACACACACAACAAAAGAGCCATGGAGTCTTGCACAGACAGAACAGAACAGGACATCCAGATCTCATTGTCACGACAAGGAATTTGATACTGTGATTCTGGTACTGTGATAACTACAGAAACTGGCCTGAGTGTCAGCCTTGTTAGCTTTCGTCCGCTCCCCAAGTTGAAAGCTAACAAGGCTGACACTCAGGCTATACAGAAACATGAATGAACAAACAAACAGACACATACAAATACAGAATGCATACAATTTTCCTTGGAAACTGACTAACTTTTGCAGGTTAGTGCAAGGACGTTCTATAGAACATCCTTGGTTAGTGTCATTTCTCAAAACTCACCATCAGCATGAAGAAGTAGAAGACCCAGTGCCAGTCCAGGTGCAGCTGTTTATGAAGCAAAGGAACCACAACCTGGGGAAGGATGACACATAACACTTTAAATTTCACACTGATCAACTTATTGTCCAAGTGTTCACATTTCAGTTTGCAGTAGTGACTACAGTACAGAATTGCTACTATCCAGCACGTTGGCAGAACGTACTGCATCTGCGCAAAACCCGTGATACATAGCACTTAGGCAGAACGTCTCATATAAGGTTGTATTTGCTCATATAAGGTTAGCATTCCGACAGTAGTTTTCAAATGTTATGTCGTAAAAGATATCGTCTGCAACAGGGAAAATTCTGATGCAACGTTGACCAAAAATCCAACGAAAACCGTGAAAATCCTGGGTTCTGCGCAGGCGCAGTACGTTCTGCCGACGTGCTCTACTATCCATGTAACACCAGCATGCATGTGACTGTGAGTTCCAACCTGTCCTATAGAAGCCCCCACGCTGCCTGTCCCGTCCACAATGCCTGTGACCGTGGACAGGGCTTCGCTGTTTCCCTTGATCAGGTCCTGTCGTCCGAGGTCAGCCGAGATGGCAGAACTGATCAGGTTAGCTGGACCACCAATGAAAAACCCTGTAACATAAAACACATAATTAACCTCCAATGAAAAATGCTGTGACAAAACGCTGTGACATAAGTTTTCTTCAGTTTATAACAATCTCCAATGAGCAACCATGGGGCATAATTAAACTTTAATTTAAAGTTTTCTTCAGTCTAGCAGGATCTCCAATGGAAAACCCATGACACAGAAGTTGACACAACACATAAACTTTTCCTATGTTATGATAGCAATATATATAACGTTATATGTCTCAGGATCTTACACAGTCTGTTTAATTCTAGACCCACAATGTACCTGTCCACTCAAGACATTTATAAGTACATTGTACTTACCAGCTACAGCCATGAGAACAGCATTGGTGGTCTTGTTGTTTGGAGAAGCTGAAAAAGAATTATATAGAGTCAAGCTGTTTTTAACAAACTCCTGGTATAACTATAATGATCATTACAAAATATGTTATTCCTGGCAATTACACATAAACTAAATCTTCAACAAGTACCAGTATTTCACTAGTAGGTAGTAATAAAAATCAGATTCACATACAGCTCATTGCCTAGTATTCTAATTATGGTCAATGTTTTGATAAATATATTTTGAAAAGCTGTTGTCAATACCAATTATGACACCTCTGGTGTTGCAGATTTAAACTATGTAAGATTAATTCCCAGTGCACCTACCACTGTAACCCCAGAGGGCAGGGAGAGCCAGTAACAACATGGTCACCACGGTGGGGGCTCGCTTCTTCATCCTGTCTGACAGATAGCCGCCAATCATCCCTCCTGTGGGACAAAAAAATGATGGTGAAACACTAGGACCGAGTAGAAACAGGATAACCCCTGATGACTTCTCTAGCCTGGAATCCAGCCTTGTTAGGTTTGGTCTGCTCCCCAAGATCCGGGGTAGCAGATTTGACTCTCTTCAAACACAGGACCTCCAGCTTTCATCTTATCTGAGAGGACATCCCTAATCAAAGTGAGTTACTCATTTTCAGTTGAGTAAGGAATAGGTGTTAAGTGCCTTCCCAATGGTACAACAATGGGGCCTGCCAGGGAATTGAACCCAGAACCTTCAGATTCTAAGTCACACAACCCTGAGTCCCTATTTGCTTGCTGCAATATTTATGAAAACCTGCAGCAAATGATGAAGTGATTCTTGTGTCCTCTTGAAATTTAAGATTTTTTTCCTTACCGATAATCCCGCCCACATCGTAGTAGATGGAGATCTCGTCAGCGACCGTCTCCTTCCAGCCGTACTGGGAGTGCAGGTAGAACGGCAGCCAGAAGAAGAAGGAGTAGTTCACCAGCTTCAGGCAGGCGTAGGACAGCGAGTACTGCAACATACAAAGCACAGACCGATCCTGACTGTCCATCACAATTACATGTAGCAGTTAAAACGATAAAAGAGTGGTAATCTGCTAAAGCAATAAAAGAGTGGTAATTTGCAGCTGGACTGTCACCATTTCTATGTTTTCATTTTGCATATCTATGTTTTGAGAGAGGTGGATAGGGCTATGGGATCAGTTTATTCTGTTAATTCTTACTCAAACACATTCATATCCCTCCTGCTGTAAAATTGCAACATGATGTAACCCAACACTAGTTACCATGGTGAGAGATGTCTAGTTCATGTTATTGACCTTATTTGTTTGGACAAGAAGAAACAGAGCAAAACAATATGTTTCCTTTGGTAAACATAACGACAGATTGCAGACTCCTGCCGTACTCACAGGAATGACCCCTGGTAGACAGACGGCCTGGAAAAAGCTGATGGCCTGAGGGCGGGTCTGTGTGAAGGTCACGGGAGAGTCAAGGTCACTCTGCACAAGTGGTGTTCTGGGTGTGATACCTGTGGGGAGGGGGGGCAATAAGAATATCAATGCTTATAATGTTGTTCTCACCAAAACATTGGGAACATGGTACTCGTATGCATATCTGACATGATCAACCTTTAGCATACTGACGCAACCAATTCTCTATAGTCTATTGTTTACAAGGTTAGATAGTGGGGAGTAGATTAAAGTCATTCAAATAGGTTAATTTTTATTAGCTTGACATTCATGAAAATATGCTTACAATAAGGCTGTCCATTACACTAAGGCTCTGTATATGTGCATTACCAGTAGTGCATTAACTCAGTATGGCTAATCGGTCAATTATAGGTAGCTTGTAAAGAAGAGACAACAGTAGACTAGTCTTGGTGTTATGACATTACCTGTCTCATCTTCATCATCATCATTGGTGTCACTGACATCATCCTCATTATCTCCATCCTCTGGTTCTGGGAGGCCTGGGAATCACAACAGTCAGTCAGACAGTCACACTGTTATCTGATTTATCTAAACCACTTAAAAGTCACACTCCAAAAACATGGGTACAAAAAGGACCAGGGAATTACAAGGAATCTATCAGTGTATCACCAATCAGAAAATTGTATGAAAAAGCATGTGAACATCTGATATAAGGTGTTCACAAAATTACTAACCAACTTCCTTTGGAGAAGGAACAAGGGCAAAGAAATTGACAACTCCTCCAGCAAAAAGCACAGCTGATGTCACCAGAAAGGCGTACTGAAATAAAAGGACAATGTTACATGTAACAAATAAAATCTCAAGTGTGTATGGAGATTTTCCTTTTGTTTGTGTAGACCTTCCGCTCAAAACCGATCCTGATTCCCCACTGGTAGTCACAATTTGCCTTCAACCAACAACAGCAGGCAATTTGAAGTTGTAAGTATTAAGTACATTTACATTGGCATTATAGAATGTTGTGTGTAGAAGTTTACTCCACAAAATCATCACAACATAGACATGATAGAACAAAACATTGCAGTTATGACAGCCTACCTCATAACCATAGTCCAGAACCTGTGACACCAGCAGGGCTCCGATGATGTTCCCCACAGAAGCACAGGCTGACCACGCACCCAGGACAAAGCCTCGTCTGAGGGTCAGGACACGTGAGAGTGGTCAGAAAAAGGCAACAATACCCCAATCCTGACTTCCCTTCACAATTCAGCAGTTAAACCAATGATAACATGGCAGTTAGCAGTTAGACCAATTGTATTTCTAAATTTTGAAGGAGGTGGGCAGAGCTTAATCTCAAGTGTACACTCCTCTGGCCAATGGATAGTGTCTTGCCACTGTATGATCTGTTTGGAGATTATACAGGGCTTTTGAATCTTTGTTTGTATGAAGTGCTTGGAAGACAAAAGATCTTGAATTCTCAACAAAAAGTTACCATTATCTTGGATAATAGCTTCTAACAGCACATGTTCTACCCTGCGATGAAAACAACAAGCCCTTACGTTGACTTGCCAAACCAGTTGCCCATGATGGCGACCACACACGGCCATCCTGTGGACTGCAGCAAGCCGTTAAGTACAAACAGGAGAATGTAGAACGGCTGGCTGTAGAGATGGACCCATTCCGTCAGGCACCCAAACACAAACACCTGAAATAATAAGGGATTCAGTTAAAACAGTACTCTTCACAAGACAATGATGGCAAAGAAAGGAATGACTCACAAATATACTTGAGAAATCCATGTTAAATTATCATGTCCTTGTGTATGTAGTAGTGCTCTTGCTCTGTATCATATCATATAGTACACTGAATGTTTTTAGAAGTCCAAAGTCCAATACTTACCACAACAGCAGACAGGCACATTCCCAGAGACAGCACCTTCCTCATGTCAAACCTGTTATGACAATTGCAAAGCTATTAGTTACAATTGTGTACATCCCTATAAAGTTATATATGTATATCATACAACTACATTGTATATGTAATACTGAACTACAAAAGGAAGCATGTTCCATCTCTTACCTGTCTCCAAGAATGCCACTGATGTACAAACCCTGCAAAGCAATAGTATAAGAAAGATGATCAAGAGGAAGCTCTTGAAAGCAATGCTATTTCATGCATTATCCAGGTTGAAATCTTGCCAACTGTACAAATTCATAAAAAAGAACAATTCTTGGCTTTTTTCTTATATTGTTATAATCATAGATGTCATAAAAAGGACGAAAAGTAAGCAAACCAAATGGCATCTGCTTTAAGTTAACAGAAACCATGTTTCTCTTGAAAATCAAACATGGCTTTTTTTTTAAATGGTCAACTGTCTTAGAAATTTAGGACATTAAGTCATCAGCTCACCACTGCATAGGAAATGAGAAAGGTAGAGTCCAGCCAGCCCAGGAAGGGTTCAGCATCACTGCTGGAGTCAAACAGGTGCCGGTCCATCCAGATCTGTAATGATTGCTGTTAGTTAGTGTTACTCTTCAAGGTTGGGTAGATCCAGTCTTTGTCAAGAAATATTCCATTCTATTCCTAAAGGCGACTGGAGTTGTACAGTCGAAGATGTGGGTAAGTCTTACCCAAATTTATGACAGTACAACTCCAGTCTCTGTCTTGAGGACACTAAGTCCAATTTCTTGTGTTGGAAATTACAGCAGCTTCCTAAATCTGTATATAACCAGTTATATATATATATATATATATATATATATATCATACATGTATATGTTATAATAATCACCCTTCGGCATAACACACCAGCTTCACAGGCACGAGGCGAGGTGTCAGCTGACTACATAGTATATTACAACGAACGACCTGTTACACCCAACCTTTGAACATCTAACTCTATAAAACTCTAAATGACTTCTACAACACAGATGAACTTTCGGGCTTGTCCTACCTTCTCCGGCCGGAGGCATGGCTCTGTAGCATTACAGAACTGGGGAGTCCACTCTGAGGAGATGGTGGTCTTGATGTTACTGAAGGTTTTTCTCGTGGCGTGGAAGAACGCATAGCTGCAAATATACATATAAAAAGCGTTTTAATTTAAATCTGACGCTACAACATAGATATATGAGATGGATGGGTTGCCAGTGGATGGGAGTCGTTTCACCGGCCCACGGGTGTGAATTCTTGATCTTGAACAGGTACTGCGTAACACCCCTAGCCTCAGTTGGGGTAAGACACGACAAGTTTAAGGAAGCAGTACTTTGTCTAGTACATATCTATATAGATAAATACATGCAAAAATTATGTGCCTTTGATTTAACGACCTTGGTAAGTTTCCCAACCGTTGCACCCCATCCCATCCCTATGCTAGCGCGCGCGCGCGCTCGACACGATCAACGGTTATATACGTTATGTGAACCTTATTTTCAACGTTTTTGTTGTCCCTGCTTTAGCTAGAGCAAAGGTTCTATCACCCACATACCTGAAAAACGTCAACAAGAAGACAAAAACGTGGTAAATGGTGTATTTTGACGTCAACTGTCTCCACATTCGGCTGACGGGCGCCATCTTGAAGGTACAAAGGTCAGTCACCTCGAGTAACCTTAGTTTATTTCGCGCTAGTATCACAGGCTGAGTACTCCGCGATATTTTTCTGCAAAAATGCCTCAGTGAAATATTTTCATGTGGTGTTGGAGTATGGTCAGGTCGGTGGTCAGTTGCTACGAAAACGGAAAGCATGAAATAAAACCGTTAACTATTAAGTGCCCAACTTGTTAAATTCAGACTGTTACAAACACTAAAAGTTTAACGTTACTAATGTTAATGTGACTACCTTCTTCCTACTCAGCTGTCGATGTCAATCTAACCAGGTAAGTGTTGAATATATATAGTTCAGTTATCGCTGTAAGTTTTTAGGCATGTCAGCACAGTGCAAAAAGATGTGATTTAATACATCACCCGACCGAAACTTCCTTGCCGCTTGCCGAAACTGTGGGCAACCACTGATTCAATGCAAAATACTGTTTCACAGTACCATCTGTTTCATTTGATTTTGATTATTTATTTTTCTTGGATACATATCTAGTGGTACTTTGACACAGAGTAATAGAGGTATGTGAACATGACAATTTTTATGCTATCATCAAGAATAAATGTTCAGTTTTGAACGATCGTGTACTTAAAGTTACCGCCTTAGTGATCACTTGTTTGTTAGCGACTTCCCAGAATACCCGTGGTGTCAGGTGATCACCTGACCAGAACTGTCGGCAATCCCGGCCCTCAGCTAACTTTGGAAACAAAGACTACTAAACATACCTGGCCAACAGAACTGGGACCCGCCCGGGACCTGCAAACACTCCAGCCTAGTAGAGCTCCCCGGCTCCGTCTTGGCCGTCGTCTTAATATCTGTGCCACGATTGTCCTGTATATCAACTTGAACTTCCCGCTTGCACTTGAAAGGTAACTTTACATCCACTCTCTATATATATAACGTTAACTTGTTAGATCTCCTTTTGTGATCACGATCCTAGCTTTTTAGTTCATGACTGTAGCTCACAGCTGTATGATAACTGTTGCTATAAAGTTCAGGCCCGCCGTGGTGTAACCATAGTCTAGTTATTGTGTGTATTCAACTTTCGATACTTCGCTTGCAAGGTACATGCTGTGCAGGAAGTCTACAGTTTGTCTGGTCGACTCAGGCTGTCAAGTGTTTCTAGCATACAGTGTGTGTGACACGTCACCTATCAGGTAAGCGTTCAAACTGTGACATTCATCTGTATGGAATGTGCACCACGCCTAGTGTAGTGTATTAGCTGTTTGCGCCAGACCCCGGCGCTTACACTGAAGTAAAGTAAAGTAAATAATTGGTAAAGTAAAGTAAAGAAATAAAATTTACTGATCATGGCCGTCGACCGGATCTCTGCTTGAAACACGGGCCGCTCTCTGAGTTGGCCTCGGGCACGAGAGACCCCGGGTGCCAAATCTCGAATCGGGGCGTGTGGCTTCCTCGCGGCCAAACTCTGGCATCCTAGCCTCTGCCACGCTTTGGGAGACGGCTGGAAGAGAAGAAATTGGCCGCGGAAAATGTACTCTCTAGCGGACCAACTCCCTCGCCATGTGATCTCTTTGGCCAATTTCTACTCTTTCCAGCCGCACCCCCCCCCAACCCCCCAACCCCCCAAACCCTGGTAGAGGCATCCAGGCTTGTCTGGTAGAAGTAGTTGTTTTGTTAATGACCGAATTACATGTTGAGTTCATTAGCCACGTCGTAAGAAGTAGAAAGAAAATGAAAGCTGTCAAATGAAAGCAATCAAATATTACACATTGCTTACTTTTTGGCTCCAACAGAACACCAAACGAAGAAAACAAGGGAATAGTCAACAATGGCAACACGCATGTGGCTGATGTTTCTGATCGCTGTTGGCCTACTGATGAACTTCTCTTGTACCAAGGCTGACACAGCTGACGATGTGGGGAAGGGAGCAGGGAAGAAAGCAATGCGAGGATGGTGGGATGTAATGGAGGAGTATCTCGGCTATCTCGAAGTTGCAGAGGAAGGATACAAGTTTTATTCTCGTGTGTCTTCTGCATACGAAAAGTTAAAGAAGGGAAAGATGACAGGAAGTCAATTTTTGGGAAAAGTTGGGAAATCTGTGATTAGGGGTGGATGCTCGTTGGGAGGTTCAGCCATGGGGACCGTTGCTGGTGCCGCCATAATGCCGGGGGTGGGGGCAGTGGGGGGAAGTTATGCTGGAGAAAAGTTAGGAGACAATATCGGGGATTATGTGACCGGAGAAACAGATTAGATACCACTTTACTCATGCCACCTGCAATATCTTATATGTTTTACAATGGAGCGTAAGATGCATGTGCAAAATAAAAAACGAGTGTAATATCAAGTTATTGTTCGCTTTGATTCAGATGTATCTTTTATACTTTTGTTCCATATTATACTTTAGAGACCCCTTCTGTGCTAATGCTGCAATGTTGTTAACGTTACATATGTTTGGTTCCGTTACGTTTGATTTCAGGTGAATGTTAGTGATGTATCATGGACCTTTTTTTCTTAGCTATTTGTCTCTTTTTATACCAAATGTTTCTTCTGTTCCTGCAATTAGCCCTCGGTCTTTTTTACTAGTAGTTTCTTAGGAGTTATCAGTAGTTCTGTGTGTACTAATTGCCTGTCTTTATACCAAATGTTTCTTCTGTTCCTGCAATTAGCCCTTGGGCATGAATTTGCAATGAAACAATTTGTATATTTCTTTTATTATCTTTACAATTCGCAAAGCATGTATCCAGTAATGAGATCGTGTGATCATCACCTGCCCGAAACTATCGGCAATCCCCTGAGCTGAGCTAAACAAACAAGTACAAGCCTAACCAATAAAGCCGGTTTTTCAATACCAATACTGTCTACTGTCATTTGTCAACTGTACTTGTACAGGTTTCAATACTTTCCGTGTCTGTCTTTTCTACTTTTGTTCAGGTATACCGGTATACAGATATAACCCCCTTCTGTGCTAATGCTGCAATATTGTTTGATTCTGTAAACATGTGAATGTTAGAGATGTCATGATAATGGGCCTTTTTGTTAATCTCCAAGCAGATTCGGTGGGGCAAGGGGACATGAAGGGACAGTTGGGCCGGCAGTGGATACAGGTGGTCAATATAACAAAGTCCCCTTGCCTCATCGAATCTGCTTGGAGATTACCTTTTTGTTAGCTTTACACTTCGCAAAACACGTACCCAGTAGTCGACCCATAGTATAATGTTTTTGCTCTGTTTCTTCTTCCGTTTGAAACACTGACCTCTGACCTGGTTAATGACCTGAATTAGACCGTCTCTCACCATGGTAACTGGTGTTGGGTTACATTATGTTGCCGGATTATGTCACCATATACTGTACAGTATGTGAATGTGTTTGAGTAATAATTAACAGAGCAGACCATATGCGAAGGTTGTTTGGTTAGCGCACCTCAAAAAGCGGAAGTGAGCTCAGGTGCACGTCGCAGACCTATAACAAAAGATCACCTGACCGAAACTACATCACCTGATTCTGGGCAGTCCCCACATCACATGACCGACACCATCGGCAATCCCCTCAGCTCAGTTTGCAAAACAAATCACGTACCTGGTAGACAAAGCCGCTTTTCAATACTACAGAAAAGGTAAAGGAACGCGACCAGCTCCATCGTGCCTTTGTCTTGGTGTCTAAAAGGTACGTCCACTCAAGATTGTGACCTGCTTTTTAGTTTCTGTCCAGAATCTCTTTACATATGCATATTAGTATATTGTAATATTCAAGTTGCATGTTGGCGTTTAATAAGAAAATCGTTTGCATGTTACCTAAATTTGGAAAAGGTGCACAACATCCCGTTGTTGCTTTCGAATCCTGGTTTCTTTCATTTCATTTTTTATGTTCATCCACCCGGAAATTCAATCTGCTTAAGGTATTTTTTCAACTTCACTTCCAAGGTATCTGCTGTGCCAGATATCTGGTTATACACCTTGAGTCGCGTCTTGAGTCGCGAAGGAGATATACAGTGACACGCCACATATCTAATCAGGTAAGCGTTAAAAAATGAAAGGTTTGAAATCAAGTTTCTTAAAAATTCCAGTTAACGTGAACTCCTTGCTCCAACCGTATCTGAATGATTAAATATCAAACCGGTGTTTGTGATTTAAGTGTTGTGCTAGCTGTTCGAGTCACAGTTGGATAGATAAATGTTCGAATTTTCTAGCCACAAAATTGTTAATGACCTAATAAAGACTTGCCGTCTTATAAAGTGGAAGAGAAATCTAGTGCATTTTATAATCATATACTAACTATACCAGCCCAAGGTTCATAAATTATCATTTTGGCTCCAACAGAACAAAGACAAAGAAAGCAGGGCGAACAGTCAACAATGGCCAAACCCATGTCGCTGATGTGTTTGATCGCTATTGGTCTGCTGCTGAGTTTCGCTTACGTCAATGGGGAAACCCTGAAAAGCACTCCTGGCGACGGACAGACAGCTGACGATGCACGAAAGGGTTCACCGAAGGGAGAAGATGTCGGGAACGGTGCTTTGAAGGAAACCCCTGAAACTTTGATGGCACAACTTGGAAATTTGAAGGACAAACTCGACGCTTTAAGGACGGGGGTCGGCATTTTTGCTAAGGGGTATGAGTTATACGATCGCACTTCTGCTAACTACAAAAGGTTTAAGAAGGGGGAGATGTCACAGGAGGAGTTTGAATCCGAAGTTAGGAAAGAAGTAGGTGGTGTGGTCAGGAGTTTGTGCTCGATCGGTGGCAAGACTCTCGGTAAGGGTGCGGTTGCAGGCACGGTCGCGGGCGCCACCCTCGGCGCGTGGTACCTCGGACCCGCCCTCGGGCAACTGGCGATCCCCATTCCCGGGTTGGGGGCGTTTGTGGGAGGTTATGTTGGCGGTAAGGTGGGAGCAATGTTCGGAGAGCTTGTGACATAAAACTCGTTCTACAGGAGTGAGGATAAAACTCGTTCTACCGCAGAGTGGAACTCGCTGTCACCAAGCGTAGGGGCATTGTCATTAGATAGCTGCAATGTTTAGTGTCAGATGTTCAAAGGTTAGGTGTAACAAGTCGCTCGGTGTAATGTAGCCATCTGCCACCGCGCCGCGTGCCTGCAAATACAGATAAAATTACGAAGAGAGACCAAATGACACCATAATTACGCCATCTGCAATAGTGATAAAAAGAAACTATTATTAGATTTGCTAACACTACCGATAAAACCGTTTGCAGCAAAAACGTACCATATATACTGTTTTTTTTTTTGCTCAAGTAGATTTCAAGAGACTTAAAGTCACAAGTAGATATGGACATATCTTTAGTTTAGATGTGACAATTCTCGTAGTGCAGAAATATATATAACCCTATATATATTAAAGATTGCTTTGTTACTACAAAGGATACAGAAACCCAAGACTTGATCCACCTGATTGTAGTAAGATATCATAGGTTTACTTATGCTAGCCCTTATTGTTTAGTATTAGGCCACACCAATTTAATTTCTTGGTTAACGGATTTTTCTAGAAAAATAATGGAGTGGGCGGGCGAAAAAAAAAAATAAAAACAGGTCTAGGCATCCTATTATGGCCCAAAATGGTACGATAGGAGCCATGAAGTCAACACACCAGGCTGGTTCAAAATTTAAACAATGAATTTTGAAGTTTTAATGATACCATTGCATTGAAAGATGGAATAACTGTAACAACTAGGATAAAAAGGACTGTTTTCAACTGTTCAGGGCAAAATATGAGAATTTTGCAGTTGATTCTGAATTTTTATTTTTATTTGCAAATCAGAAAAAAATGAAGCGGGCGAATCCGTTAACCAAGAAATTAAATTGGTGTAGCCTTAAAGTAGAATTTTAAGATTTTGTGTTTCTCTTATCCGTTGATCTGTTGACCTTAGGAAAGCTGCTGTACTTTTTGTAGGGTCAAGTTTCATTATATAATTCATCATATAATTGCAAACATTACAGACATTTAGTGACTCAGTTGGAGAGCAGTTTTAGAATAAAATGTACTTTGCACAGTAATGAATAAAGGATTATGATATGGTGTTCCTCAATGTTAATTCTTAAATGCCTATACAATCTTATACCATTTGAGAGATACTGGTAGTATGGATCAGAGTAATTGTTGCAACATACTTGTGCCTTCAAAACATGGTTTAATGTTGTACTTGATCTGTAAACAAGCGGAATCAAGAATGTGTTAAATTTTTTACAAATAAGTCTGTCTCTAACTGCCCCAAAAGATGAATCTAGCATTGTTCATGTCGGTACATGTTGTAATGACAAAATACTGTTCTACATTTTTTTCTCCAACTTGTAAAACGAGAACATAAGTCGAGCATCAAAAATACATGTCATTGTGAACAGAAATTGTTGTATGAAATGACTGCCAACAAAGGTTGTTACATGTAAGTAAGTCATACAGTAATGATGTTCCAACTTTGTGGGTCTGTCGGCAATGTAACATATGCAATTGCTATGGGAACAACTGTCACTGTCATTAACATACAGTACTAATACTCATCAATGTTACCTATGATAAGCAGTTCTTGATGAGAAGATTACATGACAATGTCTGAATTGTAAGGACTTCAAGACCCCATATGTAGGACTGCTTAAGATTTTCAAAACTCTGTACAGACTTTTTCCCTCTAAATGTGAAATTCTGGATCCTTCCTTTGATTCATACATGGTCATTAACAATGGTTGACATTGTTTTCTATATCGGACATAAAAAGTGCAGATCTATGTACACAGCATTTTGCAGAAGGTTACATACTCTTATGTGATGGACTGTGACAGCAGTTTTAACATGATATCTTCTGTACTTGATTCAATAAATACTGCTACATCTCACACGATCCATCTGTTTACAATCAATAGTGGACGAAAACTTTCTGCTTTATGAGTAAAATACGACTACTAGAATGGCACCAACGTCCATGGCTAAAAGTGGATGGCTTCTCGCTTGTACATTAGAGTCCTGATTAAGACTACAGACGGGATTGCACACTTCTAAGTTCGACAAGAGGAATCTTTTGACCTTGAGGAATCTTTTGACCTTGAGGCCCATACAGCAGCCAGTGTCTTACCTTTAGCTTCTCCTAAAACAATGAACTTCAGAATCTTTACCACCATTTCTATTTGCAACTCTTCATCTGGACACTTTCCGTTCCACCTTGAAGCTGCATCTACTGGAATCTACTAGTAAAAACCTGTACCATTCACACTGACTCACTCACTCCCACATTCACACATGCTCCGAGTTCGGAGTTTCATAAAAATCCTCCACACTGTGCTTTAATCAAGTCCTAAAATTTGACTCAATCAAGGGTTTCCCATTGCTAAATACTGCTGATCCACTGAATAATTACCCTTTCTAAATTCTTAGAACATGATATTACTTCTGATATTCAATTTCAGGTCTCAGATGATTTCAATGATGGTAAAAAAAAGTTGACTGGTACTTTAGTAGGAAATCCACATATTTGAAATTTCCATGCTCAAAGAGGACTGTTGTTGGGCCAGCAATGTCTGAAGAACCACTGTATGTCATCAGTACATAAGAGTCAACAGTGATTCTAAGTAGTGGTGGGTTTTGTACAGTAGTTGAGAAGGGAGGTCTGACTGCAACATGGTCATTACTACGTCAGTTCTGCGTACTCTGTCACCCCGTGATTGGGAGCGCCCAGCTTCAGCAGGCCCACTGTGCGATCTTTGGAAGCTGTGACTAGATCTGGTGAGATGGGTTAAGGAAATATGCAATTTGTGTTTGCAGTAATACCTGAAGATACTAGTACTTACAAGAAATTACAAAAGGTTGTTCAGATTTACAATATGAAAAATTTGATGTGACACAGATACTAGAATAAGTACTAGGAATAAAACACACAGGCCTGTGACATCATACCACACAAAGTCACACACTATTGGGGAAAAAAGGCTTTTAGTTTTGACCCCAAACCCTTTTTATAAAAAGGTGTGTAAATTTGAACTCCATTGAGCCTCAACATTAGTGTGCAAGCACATCTACAGTAACCTTCAGAAGACAGGGAACAACAGATACTAAACGAAATAATGAATGAGTGAGTGAGTGAGTATGTGAGTGAGTGAGTTAGTGAATGAGTGAGTGAGTGAGTGAGTGAGTGAGTGAGTGAGTGAGTGAGTGAGTTGAAACAGACAATCACATTTCATATTTGGAATCACATATGACATAGATGAGTAGTGTAAAAAAAGGATACGCCAAAAAACAGTTACTCAGGCAACTGGATATCATCTTGAAAAAATTTTCAGCAAGCCCGGTGTCCAGGAAACTGGATATTCCAAAATCATATCCAGTTGCTTGAGTAACTGTTTTTTGGCATATCTTATTACCTGGATGTCTAACCTTCACCAACGTAAAAAAGGATACATTCGTCATATGCTGATATGTCCATGTCTTCTATATCACTCTTGTGCCTGAAGACCTCTCCCAGATACTCGTGATGGTCGGGATACCTGCGATACCTCCGCACCATCCCGTTGTCACACACAGAATACAACATACTGCCATTGGATGTATACCTGAGGGGGAGGGGGGCAGGAAATGGGTGTGTAAGTCTAGAGGTTCAAGAACATTATAGAGGACATCATGTCCTATACAAAGGACAATAATCATGTTATGTGAACTTTCATCTTTTTGATATATTTTGTCTGACCCTTAACTTTTCTCTCATGACAATCAATAAAAAGCAGCTTCTCGTGAATAAGGAATGGTTCAAACAAATAAAGAAACAAATGTCTCCAAAATTGAACAGTTGTTAAACAACCAGGATTGTCTATTACGTTTTTTTCTTGGAGTTGACGAAATAGAAAGCCTGACAAATTGCCTAAAAAAGATTTTAAAAAAGCCAAAGCAGCACTAACCCATGTTTGGAGGGTAGGATATTTTTCCACCTACCTGATTTTCTAGCCTGGGTGCCATCCTCCATTACCACCGGCTCACTAATGTTGCTCGCTAAAAAGATGGTGGTAACTATAGAGGATGGCACCCAAGCTTGGAGGTAGGATATTATTTTGGGGGTAGGATATCATTTTACTGATTTTCCAACCTTAAACTCAAATAGACAACTAGAGAAGGTACAAAAGCAGATTTTTCCCCCACCTGATTTTCCAGACGGGAGCTTCCCCGTGCTCCTGCAGCAACTCCTGAATGCCGACCTCGGGGACGTAGGCAGAGATGGAGTCTCCTCCCAGCATGATCAGGCCTGGGGGGGCAAGCACAACATCAGATACAGATACAGTCATTCTTTCCTAGAACTATCGCAGAGTGGAACTCACTGTCACTGACTCATTGTCATTAGATAGCTTTAAACAATGTCTAGAGTTAGAAGTTCAAGGGTTAGGTGTAACAAGTCCATCGGTGTAATATAGCCAGTGCCGCCGCGCCACGTGCCTGCGAAGCTGGTGTGTTATGCCAAAAGGCGGTTATACTGGCCATACAGATACAGATACAAATCATAACTGCCCCAAATTACATGCCAGCAATCGCTGTTTTGGTTTGCCTCATATACATGTAAATTTGCAGACATATGCTTCCTTTTGCAGAAATACTAGTATACTTATTATCAGTATCCAACCTTCACCCACTTTTTGCCTACCACTCACCGGCCATGATGTTGTGGCAGTCTAACTCTAACTCTCACTTACTGCCATCAATGCCAGTCCTTTGCATGTAAGGCAGTAAGTAACTAAGAGTAATCTTTATCAAAAAGACTATCCATCCCGATATGAGAGGGATCAAACCTTCCAGTCTTACTTGGCTTATACTTACTGTACAGAAAAGCTGTTTACCAATTACGTGAAACAAGCAAACAAAAAAGCAAACAAACAAACGTACTGTAGAAGCCATCGTCAGCCATGGACCCGTATATCTCAGGTGTGGGTGCAGCACTGTGCAGACAGGACCCACAGTCTACAGTCTGCAGGGTTTTACCATCTAACGTTGTCACCTGTAACACATACACATACACATGTACTCACTACGTACGTTGTAATATATTCTGACTACAGTATTCTCACCTTACAGCTAAAGTCTTAATGAGAGAATAACTTTGAAATGAAATAAATGACTTGTCAGATCCATCTGCAAGTTATGAAGCTTGAAATTGGTGGGGCTGTTAGAAAATCCATAAGGATCACGAATAACCAATTCTGTAAAATAACAGCTAACCAATTCTCTAAATTCTTCTGCTGCCACACCCATCAGAGCATGGGTAGCCAAATGGCTACTTCAGTGTGGTGTGTGCTAAAGGTTAACTTCCAACACTAATCAATACATTAACATGCATGTGATGTTGCTGCATAGCTTTCTTCAGTGTTCTAGAGAGCGTCCATCTTTCTATCATTTGACAGAATTTTGCTGCTCATGTTGGACAAAAATTTTGCCTAATCCACCATCTTTGACGCACAAAAATTGGCATATAAAGACATGAAAAGAGATGTCATTAATGTAGGCTTAGTCTACCAGCAAAATTTGCCACTGCCATTTGAAGACCGTCTGGCTTCCTTACCTTAGCAGTGCCGTCCACAGACACAGACAGGAAGGCTGACTGCCCCTTACACCACGGCCAGCTGTCATGCAGGAACGTCAGGTCCCGGATTATGTTGCCATGGAGCTGAGGAAACAACAACAAATCTGTTACCATGGTAACACCAGAGGGAAGTACAATGTAAAATGTAGGTGTACTTAGTCATTGAGTAACATTAAATCATTCTGATGAAAAGGAATTGTTATTGAACACTTTCTAATTTTACACTGTCTGATTTTATAATATCTAATTTTGGAAAGGTATAATCAACACATAATTCAGAAGGTCATTATATTGTCACTTCTGAAAGGTTGTAAATGAATAAAGTTCAAGTTGAAAGTTTATGTGAACTTCTGCATTTGAAAAAATAAGTTCCAAGCTCTTTGTATTCATAAGCCACAATAGTAAATGGAAAGCCATCTTACATCATTGATGAAGTCCAGTGGGAGTGGCATTCTTAAGTCAAACACTGTCACCCCCTGAAAGCGAAGCAAAGATAGGAGTTAGAAAACACAATCATTAAGCAGCAACTGTAAAATTTTAAACAAATAACAGAGGACCAATCAAAAGGCTTGTTACAAGACCTACCTTGCCATTCACTGTACAGCACAGAGCTATGCTGGGATTGGTGGGATCAGCAGCCAATCCTGTGCGATCTCGCCCATTGAAGGCACCTGTAGAGGAAGTCAGAAAAACAATATAAAACTTATGAATCATTAGGATTTGGCTGGATATTTTGCCTAACTGTAAAAATTACTACATGTAGTACCAACTTGTTAATCATTGCTTGGTAACATTCCAGTGTTGTAAAGGTCATCTTCCAGTGTTTGAAATACCCATCTGCATTCTGCATTTTGCAAAGAGATTTACAATATTGCAGAAGAAAAATCTTAGTTACAAAGTACAATCTGCAGTTCTGCATTATTAAATTCAGAAGGTTGTGGTATAGAGGCTGGTGTATTTGCAGAAAGTGATTTCAAATTGCAGAACAAAATTTTGACTCTTCTGCAATAATGCAGAACACTGAAGAAAAGTATTTCTACCACTGCCTTTGCTGTGTAACAGAGCATGACTAGTGCTGCATACCTAAACCCACATTTAGGTTCAGGTCCCGGACCGTCCGGATTCAAGTCCAGAGGTTTAGGTTCAGTTCTGGACTTGTAAGTCTGAACCTAAACCCATATGGCCTAATGGCATATACAAAATTGCATGTTGGCAACCTTGCAATGTTGTTTGGGCAAAACTTTGGCCACATAACATGGAGGCTGATACTTGCCCAATGGCAATGTTTTCTTCATTTTGCAGCAAAGGTTTTGCTATCTACAGAAGGTTTTAGGTGGTTTGGAAAGAAAAGGGGTATGTAAACTTTTTTTTGTTATAAGTCCGGACTTGGTTCTTGCCCTTTAGGTTTTTTGGGACTTGAACCTAAACATTCTTACAAGTCCGGATCCAAGTCCAGTGAATCGGTATGCATCACTAAGCATGACTTGACAGACAGAGCAAACTTACAGCTGTCGTACGAGCCCAGCTGCTCCCCGCTCTCCACGTCGATGATCGCCAGTCTCCTCGCCGTCGTGGTCGCCAAGATCTGAGGAAAGGTTGATTATCAACCAATCATCAACCAACTATTGGAAGCTTTGACAGATAGATTGCAAGTTGTAGCCTAGAGCCACAAGCTAACTGGGGTGCCATACTCTGTAGTTACAGTGGTAACTGATAAGCCATAATAGGAAGCCAGCAGTAACTATAGAGGATGGCACCCAGGCTTCCTACATGAATGTGTAGCCTGCTTTACACACATATAATCTCTCACTGAGTCTCCTCTCCAATTAATCAATCTATCAATCAACAATCAAGTACCAGAGTTATCAACGAAGGACTGAGGTGTTCAAAAACTCATTCTTTCCTAGAACTATCGCAACGTGGAACTTGCTGTCACCAAGTGCAGTTGGGGCATTATCATTAGATAGCTTAAAAACAATGTTTAGAGTCAGATATTCAATAGTTAGGTGTAACAAATAGTTTAATAGTATAATGTAGCTATCTGCCGCTGCGCCATGTGCCTGTGAAGTTGGTGTGTTATGTCAAAGGGAAGTTATACCAGCTATACAGATACAGATACAATCAACCATGGGCAGCTAGATGGCAAGTTGTAGCCTGTATCTCTCACTGTCAGGGGTTGATTGGGTCTCTTCTTTAAGAGCTTGTGGCCATGCATACATCTTTGACAGAACAATTCCCATTCCCAGAACTACCAATAGGAGCTCAGGATTCTCTGTCACCTTGGAAACCAGTCATCACAGCCTCCAACATAATGACAACAGACAGACATGTTCTCACTTGAGAATGGATGCAACTGAACCACTGTTATCCCTGGGCCTTGTATATATGACATACTATTGCACAGTTGGATCCGCGTGCGATTCAAGTGCCAAGCACTGAAATGCAGCGAGGATGATGATGATGGATGAATTGCTCATAAGCAATAATAACTACAAAAATTTTGATTGTCCTTAGATGAATTATCCAACACAAGGTGGTCTGTACCTTATATGCATTTCAGAAATTCAATTCTAACAACAATGTCAAATTGGCCGTAATGAAAGACTAAATTTGTCTGTTTTACAGTGCACCAATTTTTTATTACGGAATGTTGTCATTACTTACCCTGCAGCCATCACTGGTGAACCTGACAGCGTTGATGTTCCTGGCAAGACTCAAGGTTGTGATCTGGAAGGTAAACACAAAGATACTAGTAAACACGTGTAGTTATACTAGTATACAATACACTAGTTCACAGTTTTTACTGGACATGTGCAGTGTGATGCACTGTGGGTAATATGTCAAAGACTTAAGCAGGGTAAAATGGTCACATGATTCATGGCTCAACAAAAACAGCACGTCAGATAACATACTGCACCTGTGCAAAACCCTGATTTTTTGCAGTTTTATTTGGATGTTTGGTCTCTGTTGCATCAGAATTTTGCATGTTGCAGAGGACATCTTTTCCAACATAACATTTGGAAACTACAGACGAGATTTCAATGTTTACCTTATATACACAAGTACAACCTTATATGAGACGTTCTGCCAAAATGCTATGCACAATACACTACGGGTTTTGCGCAGGTGCAGTACGTGCTGCTGACGTGCTCAGTCTGCTATAAGGAGTCATCATCGTCAGTCCATCGGTTGCTGCCCAGGCAACTACAAATTTCCTCCATTTCCTCCTGGTGCTGGCAAGGTCAGAGATCTGTCTAAGTGCTAATGGAAAAATTCAGCAGTCAAAGCATTTCAATTTGCTGAATTTGGTGATGATGGAATGAATAGCTTTAAATCCATGAATTCATCCCAACTGATAGAAACATGGACACACATCAGGGCATCAGTTGGTCTGGAAAATCTTTTTGCAAAGAAAGTGAAAAATTTTCTTTTGATTCCAAAATGCCAAAATTCAGCCATCCCAAATTATAGTGATTTACACTTACAGCGTGTTAACCTTCAGCCTGCTAAGGTTGCTACCTGGCACCACATATTGTATTGGCTATGGGGGTAGGCAGCTGGGAGAAAGTTAATCATTATTTGAAACATCCTTACGTATAAAATCAAACACAATTTACTCTAATGGTAGATTGCTCGGTTGCTTGGGTAGCCAGACATGGGAGGCACCAGCTGGACAGCGACCTTTTGTGCCCTAGAGGTCAAAATATCCTGCCCCCTCTCATCAGTATGGTCCCTTTTGAATGCATCTTCATACAAACAAAAATGGATGAATATTGTGACCAACAAAGAATCCTATATGGTAAAACACAGATGGTTTCCCTGTTGGAACAATTTGGATTGAACTTGAGCGATCAACAACCAATGAGTGTGTTATAACAGATGTTTGACCTTCAAAAGCCATTAGATCTGTCTCCAAGGTCAGACGCCCTATGATTTTCACACCAGGTTGACATGCTCCTCACGAGCTCCGTGGAAGATGTTATTAATCTCCAAGCAGATGTTACGTTTTGCCTTAGTAGCTGCCAGAGGCAGTTTGACACAGAAAAGGGTTGCTTGGAAAAAATATTTTATTTTAAAGCCTCCCCCAAAATCTTCTTCGTGATTGAAATGTAATAGATCAAAAACATGCAACTATCAGTATGGCTAATTGTGGATGACAACTTGACTTCAAAGTTCTGTGAATTCACATACAGGATCATATGAAAAGTTTATTGCATCCATAGTCAACGCCTTTTTCTCCACTGTACACATTTTGGGCAATCTGAACCTTGTTTCTTATACGCACCCAGCCTCAAACTCACAGACACCCTCTATACTAGTTCCAGTCAAAACAAAATCCAAGAATAATTAGCAGATGATGGGTTTTGTGTTGACGACTGTCTGACTTACATTGTACGTATGGAGGAGGTCTCCCTTCTGTGCAGAGTACAGGTTGACTTTCCCGTCATAGGCACCAGAGCAGAACAGGTACCGATCCTGTAGGAAGTAACAACATTATAATCATGAGTTATTACAGACCTTTCAAAGGAAACATAGTTCTTAATAGTTAATACTGTTAGATATAACCATCATCTGGGTTAGAGCCATCTGGTGTTGTCTAATGTCTTGGACTACTGTAAATTGTAATATACAGTTTGTATTAGCATTGGATTTATGTTTGCAGCTTTCACCTCATGTGCTGTCTTGCAATGTGTTATGGTTGTTTCAACCAAAAACCACAAATACCTCTCTGTTGTGAACATGACAAAATTTGCTTGTTATCTGCTAAATCCAAAATTAACTTCAATTGGTATCAATTGAGACAGGTGGTAATGTTCTGTTACCAAGGAATAGGTATCTACATGCTGGTTAGAACCAGGACATTCTGACATCCATTACATGGTGTTTTTATTTATGTTGCAAACTGATATATCAGAAGGTCAACTCCAGATCAAAGCCATTTCTGTGTCTCATATTTTAAAGATTTCTTGTCCATGGATTTGTCCATGGATTGCTAGAATTAGATCAACGGAAAATAAGGCATTTGTCTGTTGTGTGATGAATTGTGCACGTAATATTACCAATTTGCCTAAACTGCTGGCTATCAATTCATTCAAGAATCCAGGTCAAGACCTTGGTACGTCATACATTTTTGCCAGGCACATAACACACATCCTCATGTTTTTGTGTGTAGTCACAAAAACAACGAGTCAGTACAATGTTGACATTATGAATTATTAAATTTAAACATAACGTTAATCATTATCATAATGCCATCAGACATGAAGAGTCAAGAAATACATTAGTAGTGTCTGATGTTGTGATGTTATGACCACTAGTACTAGCTGTGACATGCGTCACGTAGAGATGATGGTCTTAGAAATGGGTTATGAGGGCAAGTGCACCAGAAGTGCACCTTGGCTCTTTAAATACATTTACAACCATGTGCATGGCAGTGCTAAATAGAGAATAACATCGCCTGGCAACAGAACTAGATTGTCCAAAATGCCATTAAAGTAATCAGTGTGATAGGTGTACTAGTAAAATGACCTCTATAGGCCCCTATTTCTACCTGTAGGCTTAACAATTCACATAACATATCAACCACACCTATAACTATAAACATATTTGAGCAGTCTGTTTTCATGTCCTTGACTCAGTGCAACCTGATACATGACTGATCAACTAGAACTGGACTATTACAAATGATTGATAAGCACAAGTAAATGCTGACCTACTTAGGAACATTTCAAGCTATTGATTCTGAATTCTGATGAGCTAATAATTTTAATAAACAGTGATATATGATTGGAAGATTTGCAGATTTTTCAAAATACATTTCCGTCATCTTTATTTGTTGACAGTCATTTTCAGCATTGATTCATGATGCACTGACGATGATCATAACATCAACGTTAACGCGTGTAACTTTAACGATATAATATAACAATACAACATCAATGTTGGCTATAGCGGTACTAATTATTTTGTAAAGCTGTCATTCTATGGTATACAATGTGAGTGATTTTAGATAATTGTTATTCATAACACACTCTAGAGCAACATTAACAGACACAGAAGGATGATAATTTTACCATTAATGATATTATCATTATAAGATTCATAATTTGCAAATCATCATCACAATGGCTATTGTGTGTGTGTGATTTAAATTCAAGACATGCTACTAGTGTTACTTTGTATACAAACAATGGGTGAACAATCACCTGTGCAAGCATGTCCTTCGGGTTGATTTGCATAATGGTTCTCTCTAGGCTAGCTACTCACCCTGGGACAGAAAGCCACCCCTCGGACGCTGCCCTGGTGGTGCCGCAGAAACTGCACCTTTCCCTCCCGTTCCATCCGTCCCGCCTCTCCACGGAGAAATGCCTGCAAGATCCCGATCGCCCGCTCCCATCCACCGGGCTGGAAGTCGCGGGTTCGACTCCCAACAAAACAAAAGATTACAGATTGCACACCCTTGTGTCGGGAGAGACCGTCCTAGCGAGCTTTTATAATATTTCCCTTATTCACCCATCTTCAGGCGAACGCAGGGGCACAATACGAAGCGATTCCTCAATGCCAGCAAGTAGATGCGTAGCTCGCCTCCCTCTCCTACATTCTGCAGTGTCCAGGGTCCGGTAGAGTGAGAGCTATGTCGCAGAGAACAATTTCAGAGGGAAACATCTTCTCCCCACTCAGTCACTCACCCTGTGTATCCATCTGTTTCGCCTCGTTCCCGTGTATATTACACCGGAGCCCCAGACGGATGCCCACGGGAAAAATTCAGCTGCCTGTGCAAATAGTCAGAACATCGTTGGTTTTATGACATCTGACGATACTAAAATTGCTACAGTCTGATTAAAACTAATCTAAAATCTATTTTTCTTAGTATTTAAGCGTTATCAACTGATGTTAGATTGATTTTGTACTAATTTGTTTGCACAGCTCAGGGCATAAAACGGCGGCCACCTATAAGGATACTTCCGGGTTTCTCGAGGTGGTGCGAGGATTTTGGAGTCACGACGACTGTTGTGTTGTGTCACATCCTGCGCCTTTCTGTCTGTTTTACTCCCACGGGAGTCACCGTTTTACGAATTTACAAATCGTAGATCAACTGCTAAGGTAGCACAGGTGTTGGGATCACCTTGTTTTAAGCGGCAGGTTTCAGACTACAGAGTTGTTGAAGCAAGGAGTTGCGAAGATGGCGAAGACAAAAGTCAACATTCAGTCTTTCCAGCTACAGTTGATCGGATGGCAAGCTGTGGTCTTCTGTGTTGTGCTGATGTCCTGTGGTCTCTCTCCAGGTAAAACAGATGTTTTGTTAATTAATCAAATCACGCCTTGTGTTTAGAATCGGTGTTGCTGTACGTAGCCGTTGTCCAATGTTATAAATCTGTCATATGACTGTTTTATGTAACGTTAAGCTATAAGTTTACTTGTGGACGTTTGTTGTAAACTGATCCGGCTTTAATATGCGTGTCGTGTAATTTAGCCCTTTGATCTCAGAGGACGAAAGACGGTTGTAATTAACTGTCCCAGGACACTGACTGAAAATACCTGGTTCCTGCAAAGAAATGTATATACATGTACTATATGTACTAAGGTACAGAACACCTTACCTACTACTAGGCATGACGAGGCAAAACAACTAAGTGACATTCCTTTGCATCCTTCCGACACAATGGGGAATCTACATTTGGAAATGCCAGGCTTCCGGTGTTCATCGGTTGGTTGATTTTATCACCAAAACTTCTTGTTGTATAGAAAAGTTTCTGCAGTGTATGGGGAATCTTGATGCCGGGAATACTTACAATCTGTGTCTTTGAACAGTTCTTGTCTTCACTTTACTTAAGCTCATAAAACTCATTTTACCTTAATAAGTCTAACCAAGGACATCTGACTCATCAAGTAGTTTTTAGTCCTGAATTTTACAATTTATGGATCACGTAACAAAAGGAAACAGGTTTTTCTGGTATAGCTTGAGATCTGCTGGTCAAAAACAGATCCATCTTTACAAAACAAGAATGCATATAAGGGGGATGTTTCTTTGTGGTGACTAACCAAAAGGGCATTAGTGAAGTCATGTGTATCACGCAGGAACACAGTAAACAGACAGGTAACCATCTGAGTCAGAATGAAAAAGTGTCTTTGTGTCAATAATCCCACAGAGGTGTATTTAGAATGGGCCCTCACTGCATTCTTAGTGTTTTGGAGGGAGCCAGAGCTACATGTAGGTGCGGGAGCATAAGTATAATAAGCTTTCCCAGGTGATTAACAGATAATGTATTCAATGGCAGCCTTCCAAAGAAGACTGGAAAGAGCTTGTGTCAGCAAGGGACTCTAACTTTAATACTAACTGATAAGCTTTACTGGTACATTGTACTTCATTGACAATGCTCCATTTTTAGTTGAGGATTGCATACATGTACTTCCCATGCAGAAGTTTCTGAAAGTTGTGCTGAACATTTGATGTAAGTGTCATATCTATCTCTATACATAGCACTGTAATGTAGCACTTGTTTCTCCTACCCTTATACAATGTACCTCAGTAATCTAACGTAGTGCATATGGCTCATGTAGGGCCTGAATATGCAATATTGATAAGTTCATTGTCATTGTCATTGTAGGAGTTGAAGCAGCCTGTACTCCGCAGAAAGACTTTGTACCTGTACCTGAGGACCAGTATGACAGGAACTACTCCAGCATCAACACCCCTGGAGCACGACCGCTGGGGTACGACAGCGGCATCATCTACTACCTTGGGGCCAACGAACCCAACCCCTGCGTCCGAGTCACAGGGACCTCGGGCTCCGGCAGGAGGGTCGAAGTCATGGTAAACCTGACAATATGTTTATTTACACCAAAAACAGTTACTCAAGCAAATGGATTCAGGTATCATCCACTATCTTTCGTCAGTGACACTAGACTTGCAGAAATTTGACTTTGCTTATTTGCATATCAATCAATAGTTCGTACTGCACTTATAAACCTGCCTTTCTCATGCAAGTCTCCAGTATCGCTGACGAAAGGTAGTGGCTGCTACCTGAAACATCTGAAAAATCCGTTGCTTGAGTAGCTTTTTTTTTTTGCGTACCTGGATGTCTAACCTTCACCAACGTAACATGTTTATATTGTATACTCCATGGCTTTGTTGTTGATTTGTGGACAATCAAAGTTCTTCCCACACCATTCACGGTGCACAGGTGCTTGGAGAGTACTAGTACATGTACTTGCTGGTCACAAAAAACTGCAGTATAAATTATTCAAGACATAGCTGAGAGTTGAGATCCTTTTCACATCTAAGCCTGTAATGTATACCTAGGCCACACCAATTTAATTTGTTGTTTCTTGGATTCACCCTGTCCATTTTTTTCTGATTTGCAAAAAAAAAAATTTTTTTTTCTTCTAAATCAAATGCAAAATGCTCAATGAAAGACATATTTTGGCCCCAACGGTTGAAGAAAGTCCTTTTCTTCATAGTTGTTAACGTTTTTCAATGTAACAATGCAATTTTGTTTCATCAAAAGTTCAAAATCTATTGTTTTAATCATTTTTTTTTTCATTTTGCCCTGTCGCTTCATATATTTTTTTTAAACAACAAATCAAATTGGTGTGGCCCTAGATACCAGGGCAGGGTAAATAAAGTGCTTACTTGCACAATGGTTTTATGACTGCAATAATGCAGGGATTGGTAACATTATCAGCATTTCAGATAAGGGGTAGTTTTAATTGGAAAAAAATCTATACGACCCTTGGTCCAGCCTTGAGTACAAATAGAAAGTCACTAGAAAAGTAAAAGATCGTAAATAAAGGCATCTGGGGAAAACTAAAGTTGAATCTGAAGACAAGTAAGTCAAGCTTTTAAGATTAGGATGTGATGTGTAACTTGCTGTTTGAGTTGTGCCTTAACTAGCAAACTGTGTTTACATTCCTTGTTGATTGACAAACAATATTGTCAGGTCAGACTCTCTTAAGAACCGTTCAAGACCCCCATTTTCTCCTTGGAAAATTACAGAAAAATAGATTGGGCTTTCTGTGTTCTAAAACATTTTCTAAAACAAGTTTGAAAAGCCCATATTTGGATCCAGTGACAAAGTAATCATTATACTAGAATATAGTTCCCCTATTTGTGTCACTGTTTTTATCAGTGTGTGATATCTCACAGTTGCGTCTATGGCTTTTTCACAGGTACAAACTGAGCCAGCAACTCTGGACATTTGGTGAGTGTAAAATTCATACATGTATTGACATCACTGCTTGTGCATACATCAGGCTTGGAGAATTAAAAAGCTTCGGAGGAATTCAAATGATGTCTGTAGTATTAGCATCAGGACTTGTGTCCAGTGACAGAAAAGTAGTACATGTAGCATGGGGTTTTCAGATCTAAAATCTGGTGAGTGGGTCAGGATTTAAGCCTGGCTGCATTATACATGTATTAACCTTCAGCCAGCTAAGGTAGCTGTTTGGCACTAACTAAATGCATTGATATGGGATCAGACAGCAGGAAGAAGTTAAAGCAATGCATTAATTTGTCTCAATTATTGCACAATGTTTACATTTACATTGAGAATTTGGTTGATACTTAGTGTAACTATAAAAATATAAAAAAAAGTACAGGTGAAAATTTGGACTTGACATTTTACAAATATTCAATTTAACCATTGATATGCTGGTTCTCTGCCTCCAGTGTAAGAGACAGCACCCAGACAGAGATTGACAACTGTGTAAGTGGCTTTTTGTCCTCAATTCCTTCCTTCTCTTTTAATAGATCATACATACACCTTGTGTACTTATGAACATTTAACTGGATAAGTAATGGTGTAAGACATCAGCAATGCACAAACTGTATTATCTACCATGCCATGAATTGAAGAATAGAAGACATGTACACTGTACATGTAAATGTAGAAGCTTTCAATATCTTCATGATTTCTCATTAACTCCAGAATACCATCCTGGTTAATTTATGTCTGCTCCAATAGTCGCTGCCAACCAACAAGTAAGCAACAAGGCACCATGTTTGATTGGTAGTCAGGTAGTGACAATTGGAGCGGACGTAAACTAACCAGGATGTTACCCAGGCTGAAATGTCAGAGGATTGAAAGGAACTTTTGTGTTTGTTTGTTTGTTTATTTAAAGAACCTCCAATTACATGTAGTGACAATACAACCACTACACTTCCTGGAGTCCTCTTACATATATTGTAAAATACAAACATATTATAACTACTTATTTTATTTATTTATTTAGATTGACCACATACATAATATACATGGAGGGCATGGTGGAACAGGTGCACCTAAGTGCACCTTTTCAAGGCCACCATGCCCACAAATAAATAGACAATGTGCATAAAAAAATACATAACAGTGATACAAATAAGTATACTACTACATGTATTTGCATTCACTTCTAAGTACAAAACATACTACGTTGTCTTACTAACATTTGCCATCATTATGTGTTAAACAGGGAAGTGGGACCATCAACCTGTGTCAGGAAGCCAGCGGAAACTCAGTTAACTTTGAGTTCTACTGTAAGACTGGGTGTGAGGCGGGAGACATCAACTTCTGGTACAGGTTCACGGTTAGTCCTGACGGAGGTAAGTCTTAGTCTCTTCTATCCAATTTCTCTTCAGATCTTAAAAGTGTTATTTTTAAGGGCTCTTTACATTTTAAATGCATAAGGTGGTCTGGAAGACTTTTTAGAATGAATAGGATGTATCGGTAACATTATACGCTTGTACAGGTATAATGTATTGGATTTTAGAAAGCATACCATACACTCAAGTATTGGATTTTAGAATACATACTGGTAACAGACATTTCATGGATTACATAAATAGCATGTTTTGAAATGTTGGGTTTCAAGCACATCTATCATATTCCAATAATAATTCTTAGGCTACATTACGTTTCCTTCTTTCAGAGGCTCTGAGTATTGGATTTTTAAATGAAGAAAGTACTCTAGATGTAAATCTAGTATCATTTAGCATACAATGTATAGACATTGGCATATGTGTGGTTGCTGATTACTTTCATGATGTCTTTATTTTCCCTCCAGAGGACCCAGAGGAGTGGTGCTTTGACAGGACAGGTACAGACTTCCCCAACACCCTGGGACAGATAATCCCTCCAGGACATGTCAACAACCCTGTGACCAGACCACCCCCCACAAGTGGACTCACCCGCCTCTTACCTGCATGGACAAGTCTCCTCATCATGTTGGTTGCAGCATTTTTGTTCTCTCAGTGAGGAAAGCAACCCTGGCAGCTGTTGGTTGCAGCCTTGGTTGCAGTCTTTCTGCATTTTCCGTGAGGAAATGCATAGCTGTGCCTTTGCCTTATTGCTTATTTATGGTATGATGCTACAAGCCATTGTAAACTTAATCTCCAAGCAGATCCTAGGGTGGCAAAAGACAGTAACAAATTGTGTTGCATATTGGACCCTCTCTGGTGAATGGATACTGTCTGGCCAATTTGTTACTGTCTTTTGCCACCCTAGGATCTGCTTGGAGATTAATGTCAACTAGCATTTGTCTCCTGCTTGTTGGTAGGTTTGTTTGTACAGCAAGTAGTCCTCAGTGGGACTTACATACACTGATAGTTTGAAAGAAAATATGGTTAGAATACTGCAGAATTCATTTGTACTAAATTGTCTTCCTAACTTTCCATCACATTATTTTTCATCTTCATGTCAAACTTTATTAACAGGCTAAGAATTTAGATAGTCTCAATTAAATTTTTCTACAGAAATTCAAAGATCATTTGACTTATTAGATATTAAGCAAGTTTGAGTATGCCAGCTTGAGATATTGGAATCTTAATATAAATTTAATACATGTTTAAGATTTGTTTTGTCCAGTAGAAGTCAGCAGATTATTGTTAATGGAACATAATGATGAAATTTTTTTTTACTTTGATTTGTTTAAAATACATTAAGACTCAATACTGGTAGTACAATGTACAATTTCCATTGCAGAAATGTACCACCTCAGCTTTTTCTTGCCATTTAGATATAGATTTTGTTGTGTATCAATATTTCATATGTATAGAGGGGTTCTACATATTTTAGGTGGGATTTGTCAAAAGATGTCAAGATTCATGTTGTCATCCCATATCAGACATTAGTTAGACATTAGGCTATTTTATGCATGTACACAATGTATTTATAATAACTATATATTCCAATGGCCTTTCAGGCGGGTTAAAACATCATGATGTGAGTAATACCTGGTAGTAATACCTTTCTGTGGAAACTCTTGCGTGCCTTTACAGATGTTTTCAAATTCTCAAGATCTATAGGATTGGCTGAAACATCTGGAGCAGCCTAAGGTTTACATCGGAGGTCAGAATCATTCTCAGGCACTGGAACAACTGTCAATTGCCTCTCAAAGTTTTCCAAGGGGATTAGTGGTTTGCCTTCAGGCCTATGACTAATAATTTAAGATTCTAAAAAATTTTTAAATAATTTTTAACAGTATCGTATAGATTAAGGTGTATATCAGCATGAAAGTTCATCTGAGTTGGTAAATTACATTATGAAAAACTTTTCTCCAACTCAAAATTTGACTCACCAGAAATTTTCGACCGAATCACTCAGTCTTCCTCAGCTATCTGACCCAAATGCTGTGGACACGTGATTTTTCCCACTGTGTGACGTCAGCAAAGGGTCAAAGGTTGTCTGAAGTCACACCTGGGAAAAATCACGTGTCCACAGCATTTGGGTCAGATAGTTGAGGAAGACTGAGTGATTCAGTCGAAAATTTCTGGTGAGTCAAATTTTGAGTTGAAGAAAAGTTTAAGTTTTTCATAAGGTGTATATATTTTAGGCCACATAATAAAATTGGCCGTAAATAGTTGATGTTATAGCCACAGTCCAGAACTTCCAATTACAATTCTTTTGATTAAGACCACTCATATCAATGACTTAAAAGGAAATTTACGTCACCATATTGCCTACCTTTGAAACCATGGCAATTTATATTGACTGAATGAGAATTCTTTTGAAGTATAGTCAGGCCAACATCTACTTACAGAATGAAGCCTTGTTTAATGCGTGCGTTTATTCGCCAGTCATATCTGATTTGTAAGGTCAACACAACCCAGTAGATGTACAGTGTATGTTTCTGCATATTTCTGCTATGATGAGACAAATTAATAATAGATTGGAAAGATATGACAATCATGGTTGATTAGCTATCAGTCCAGGGTATTTTTACACATTATGTTGCAACATTCTCTACTTCTATTAGTCCAACTTTTACATTTGATTCTTGATAGGATTATATTTGTATAATGTATGGAATGTGTATGTGGTGTTTAGATCAGTAATATTTAGAATGTGAATGTTTCTTTTTGCATTATATTCAGCGAGTACACATGGTGTGGTGTCATTATTCTGTTGTCATTGTTCTGTTGTCACCCGTCCATGTCCAAGTGTCACCATCTGAGCCAGGAAGTTTTGCTGTTGGTAGTATAACAGCATGGTCACCAGTAATGTTGTTGTCCCTCTCTCTGGATGGTTCTTCGACCTAAGTAGGTCCAGCAGACAGTCCTTTGCAGAGCTACTTGTGGTTGACTACAGGTTTTGACTATTAAGTCAATGCCTTTGCTGAAATATACACCATTCCTTTACTGGCTGCTGACTACATGTGCTTGCTTTGTCCCTTAGCTAGCCTAGGGCTCTACAGTACATGAAAAACTTAAGGTGTACAATGGTTCATCTCGGTTCCTGCACTTTTCCTACAATTTAGCACAGCTTTTCCTTCCTCCCAATGTTATAACCTTAGGGACAGTTGGAATTCAGGTACCCTCTACTATCCATCCTCCCATCCCCATCCACACTTCGGGCCTAGATTATATTACCCTATAGCCTCCTTGCAGTAGTACCTTGGGGACAGTGGAGTTCAGGCATCCTTCATTATCCATCTGTTTGTATATACATGTAACGTTACATTCATTTATTTCATCAATCAACCTTCACACATTCAACTCACACTTGCAATCTCAAGCATTCAACTTCAAGACAAGTGATCACAGACACAGTGAAGTTCAGTTCATTGTACTTTATTTAATATTTATAAACCGTTGTGTGCCAAACGAGGTGCCAGTAAAGCTGCGAGCCGGCTACCCAACCCCACTCCCCTGGGGGGTCGAAAAGGGGCGGGAAGGGGGAGGTAGGATTTTACCTCTGCTCTGTCCAGCATGTAGGTGTGTTTACTCACCCCCTGGCACCAATCCGAAACAGTGGCCGAAACATGTCTCACGAGGCCAAACCAGAGACACGATAGATCATCAAATGGAAAACATGGCCGAAACATGTCTCGAGTTGCCAAAGAAGAGACATGGTAAATGATCCAAAAGAAAAGTTATATAACTGAATATGATGGTCCAAAATAGTCCAAATTGGTCAGTAGCACTGACGAATAATCCAAACTTGGGCCGAAAAGAAGCCGAAACAGAATTTGGTCTTTGGCAATGAGCTACCTGAGAAATAACCTATAAACCTAAGATAAACTAACTACTCCTAGTCTTCTACACCCGTCCATAAGCTACTAGTTTTCACCTGCAGAAAAAAATAGACAGGAGACAGGAAACTTTCCCTGGACACGCTATCTCCTAAACAGAACATACAGGAAAGGGAACAGGCATATGCAGAAGCAGACATTCCACGTTTAAGTGTAGTCACGACCAAACCAAATGTAGCCAGCCAAAAAATTAATCAAATAGCCAGGAGTATGAATTTGAACAAAACATCAAAAGAATTTGAATGAATGCATAAATGAAATACAGTAAAGTTACCGGCTTAGCATATTTTGTGATCATCTAGTTGGTTTGCGATGGGTTACCTACAGGATAAAAGGGAACAACACAAAAACACAAACACCCAAAGAAAAAAAAAACGAAGACAAAAGTGGGGGATGTATCAGAAATGATCAGATACAGGGAGAATGCACCAGTAAATGTAACCTTGTATGCACAACAGCCAACCTGAACGGGACAGTTGAGACATTTCCACACTGACAGGCTACCTTTGTAATGAAAAAGAAGTTGGAAAGGTTAAAAGCCCCTCCCCCATCCCAACTAATGCAAGCTATCAGTTGCCTTTACTTGTATTCACGGAATAGGGTAACTTTCTTCAAAATATGGGTAAGTAACATCACAAGAGTATCAAGAGTAAACAGAGACCATTGCTCAAAACCAAAATTAGTGTCTGAAACATTGAACAAAAAGAAAGCATCAACCAGTACCTACAAAATAGATGAGCAAAGGTTACCAGAGTACGACCAACTCCTTGCTAAGCACGGCACTTCAAGAGTACGGTTTGGTTCGCAGCAGCGGCTCTTTAGGAGTTACCTGAAAAAACACCAAAACTTCCCTCCATCTACCCAAAGCATGTTTGACACTGTAAATTGAAACTATCAGTTAATACTCTTACTGGTACTCTAAAATAGTATGTTTCATGTATCACCAAGTTTAACACTTACTGGTACTCTATTGTCACTCGCAGTTGTTTAGAACATTTTGATGTTTATAAAATGGTTGCAAATGTAACCTGTGTTTCTTCCTTGTCCCTTTCCTGTGTCTTCGGAAACATGTCGGCTCTCGTCACCTGTACCAAAATGAACTAAGAGGTTGTTTGCCCCTCCCAGCTTGCCCCAAAAAAGCAGAAAAAGCTTCATCACTTTGTGTAAAACTCTTGCCTCACTGTTCATGGGGATCTCTCTTCATCATAGCATCTTGCCCTTGAGGATGTTATTTATGGTGGCCTAAAAACAGAACCTGGACTTCCCTGTCTCCGGTTTTGTTACTCCATCTCCTGCCTGCACCTTTTCCACTAATTGTGGGCCTTGCTTGCAATCTTCATCAGTCTTGATTTGCCTGAAAAAATAAACTAGGGAACCTTGTTTCCCCCCCCGTCCCAATGTGGCAAAAATGATCATTCAAGGTATTCAAGAACATTAGCTCACTTCTCCTTTTTTGTATTCTTCACTCTTGGGTTGATGGCCTTGGAACAATCTCTTCAGATTTTGTTTGCTTCATTCTGAAAAACCAACTGTAGAACTCCTTTTGTTTTCCCCCTTCCCAATGTGGCACAAAGATGAAAATTTAAGATGTTTGAGGACCTTTTTTTGCTCACTTTATCCTTTGCTTGCAACTCATTTCTTCTGTCTTGAGTACTGCTTGCTTTCTTTGTTCTTCACGGTGGCCTGAAAAATAGCTGTAGAGGTCTTTGTCTCCCCCCAGTTTCCCCGATAGAATATAAAAATCTGGTAAGTTTTGCTCTTTTTCTTCTGGTTGTGCCTGGTTATTCTTCTGACTGTACTTGCTTGCCA